GGGAACACAGATCACTGAATGTAACACAAGTTGAGCTATGAACAGGTTAAAGACCATCTCTTTCTCAGGAACACATTCAAAGTTGACTGTTATTTCTTCAGATCCTACCGCCTCGGCATCCAAGAATGTTAAGATTAGGAGCACCTCGGATACCACTGCAGGGTGATGAATGGGGCTGAGGGATTCTAGGGTCGGCTGGGCAGTGGCTAGTGGTGTCTGAGTTTTGCCTGGTGGTGCTTGTGGTGTCTGGGGTTTGCTGAAAGGGGAAGGGGAAGTAAGTGGAAGGGGTCTCTCAGTTGTTTTACTGGGAGCAAGAGCACTTTCTTGGAGGATGTGTTTGTTTAAGGGGAACATTCCTGTCCCTCTGAACCCTGCCTGTGCATTTTCAACAGTGGCAGCCTTTCTGCATGCTGGGCAGAAAACTGAGAAAAACTCAGACTTTAATAGCTTTTGTCCTGCCTGTCAGATTAGTAGCAAGATGGGTCTGGCGTCATCCTGAGGTAATGACTGAACAAACAACTGACCCCATGCCAAGAAGAGATCAGCATTTATCCAGCTATTAACTAAGACCCGAACAGTAACATTCTCAGGGCAATGTTAGAGCCACTCACATCGTAGTCGTTTCCCTTTGAAGATAATCACGGTTTAACTGAAAACACCTTCCGCATTGAAGGCTGTTAAGCAAGAAAGTGGTAGTTTCACCTTTCTCACCCGCACAGACCTCCACACATGGTTGCCCAACCACTCCAAGCACCTTGGTTGAGGAGAACTGGTCTTGGAGACCAGACTCATCGCAGTGCCATACATGGGAAGGTAGGCCCTCAAGGCCGAGAGTGCAGAGCAGGTTTCCCATCCTTTTCTTCTGTCTCTCTTCTTTTCCCCTCCTTGCCTTTTATTTCCCTCCCTTCCTCTTCATGTCTTCTCCTGTAAGCTTCTTCCTGTCCCTCTTCTCTCCTCAATGTTCTTTTCTGTTTGCCACAGTCTACTCTGGGAAAATCAGAATTTCATGTTACTTGATATATATACTACTATCACTGCTACATGGCATCATGGCTAGTTCATCCCTTCCTCTCTCTCTCTCTCTCTCTCTCTCTCTCTGTGTGTGTGTGTGTGTGTGTGTGTGTGCATTTAAGTGTGCATTACTCACAATGCATACTACATCAAGGCTAAAGCACCCAAAAACTTTGGATCTGCACAATTAGAAAGGAGATGTTAAAATGTATCTAGTATATGATTTGACATGTATTGATATATTTATTGTTTTTTGATAAAAGGAACCATCAAATTTCAATTTTGAAGGAGGCTCATTTCAGCTGAAAAGGGTGACTCAACTCACAATTCATTAAAGTAAATTAAGCCGCCCATAAAAAAATGCATTTTTATTTTTTAAAAGTTAGCTAAACAAAGAAAATGCTTGCTATCTGGTGGAAACGATCACAATATGAAGTATTAGCCCGTTTTTTTTAATCAATGTATATCTTCTTTCCTTTTTTTAAATCAACCTTATCATTTTCAAGAAAGATTTGTCAACCAGAACACTCACCCATCAGTTCTTTTCACCAAGATGGATGTGAAGCATTTCCCCACCCACTACAGCAACTATAGATTGCTCTATATATAGAGCAATCAAATCAATTGTTTTGTTTTGTTAAAGTACAGTTCTGCTAACAAGTTGAAAATTCTTTACGGCCATTGGCCGTAAAAAATTAAAGAGCTAGGAGACTTAAACCTTAAACGGCTCATTTTACCCGATGCCCCAATTTACCTGATGACACCCTATTTGTGCTGAGTACGCAGTACGAAAAAGTGTAACAAAGACAATCAATCAGATTTAAAACAAAATAAAATTAAAATGAATGAAAAACAATCTTAGACCGAAAAAATATGTGATTTTGAGTATTTTAACACATGAAGTCCCAGAGAGCAGCAATTTGGCTTTTCTACGTTTAAAACCCGCCAACCAGCCAAATGGCTGGTAGGCTTTTAGCTAATATCCTGAACTGAACTGTGAACTGCTGCTTTTGTTATGTAAATAAGGTGGTGCTGAGCCGTTAGGG